GATCTCTTGGAATGGAATGATTGTGGGGTTTACTCATAGGAAAAACTATTCTGAGGCGATTATTATGTTTCAAAAGATGCATTTGGAAGGATTTAGATCCGATGGGACTAGTTTTTCTATTGTGCTCTCTGCAGTAGGTGGCTTGAAAATCTTGGATATGGGCTTTCAGATTCATGGACTTGTCATTAAGCAAGGTTTAGAACAGGACAAGTGTGTGGTCACTGCACTTATTGATATGTATCGAAAGTGTGCATGTACACTGGAGATGTCAGAAGTGTTTGATGAGATGTATCAGGTGGATATAGGTGCTTGTAATGCTTTAGTTACAGCTCTCTCACGAAATGGTCTCATAGACAATGCATTGAAGTTATTTAAAAAATAATAGTTTGAAGGGTTCGAATTGAATGTTGTCTCATGGACATCAATTATTGCCGGCTATTCCAAGAATGGGAAGGATATTGAAGCTTTGGAGATTTTCAGGGAAATGCAGGATGTTGGTGTAAGGCCAAATTCTGTGACGATACCATGCTTACTGCCAGGTTGTGGAAATATTGCAGCATTGATGCATGGAAAGGTAGCCCATTGTTTTTCTCTTAAAAGTGGAATTTCAAGTAATGTTTATGTGGGCAGTGCACTGATTGACATGTATGCAAAGTGCGGACGCATACATGTTTCCAGGCTCTGTTTTGATATGATGCCTACCAGAATGCGGACGCATACATGTTTCCAGCTCTGCTTCTCTCAGTGCACTGATTGACATGTATGCAAAGTGTGGACGCATACATGTTTCCAGGCTTTGTTTTGATATGATGCCTACCAGAAACTTAGTTTCTTGGAATGCGTTAATGGCTGGATATGCTATGCATGGAAAGACTAAGGAAGCTATTGACATATTTAAATTGATGCAAAAGAGTGGGCAAACTCCTGATTTTGTTAGCTTCATTTGTGTATTATCTGCATGCAGCCAAGGTGGTCTAACAGATGAGGGTTGGTATTATTTCAAAAGCATGGTATTAAAGCTAGATTGGAGCATTATGCTTGCATGGTGAATCTTCTCGGTCGGGCTAGAAGGCTGCAAGAGGCATATACCTTGATCAAGCAGATGCCTTTTGATCCTGATGCTTGTGTTTGGGGTGCTTTGCTTAGTTCATGCAGAGTTTACAAAAATGTTGTTTTAGTTGAGATTGGTACAAAGGAACTCGTTGCATTAGAACCAAAAAAATCCTGGAAACTACATTCTTCTATCAAATATTTATGCTTCTAAGGGAATGTGGGTTTAAGTAAATATGGTAAGGGATATGATGAAGAGCAGGGTTTGAGGAAAAACCCTGGCTGCAGTTAGATTGAGGTCAAAAGCAAAGTACATATGCTCATTGCCGGTGATAATTCTCATCCTCAAATGACCCAAATTATAGAAAAGTTGGCTAAACTGAGGATGGAAATCAAAAAATCAGGTTGCTTTCTTGATACTGACTTTGTATTGCAAGATGTGGAGGAACAAGACAAGGAACAGATCTTATATGGCCACAGCGAGAACTTGGCAGTTGCGCTGGGGCATCTGACACTAGTCCTGGCTCTCCTCTACAGGTGATTAAGAACCTCAGAATCTGTGGTGACTGTCACACTGCTATAAAATTCATATCCAGCTTTGAACACAGAGAGATTTTTGTTAGGGACACTAATCGCTTTCATCATTTTAAAGAGGGATTTTGTTCCTGTGGACATTATTGGTGAATCATGTAAATGGTTTCCTCGGTTTGCCATTATTATTCATAAGAATAGTGAAGATCCTTCATCTAGTGCGCAACAGGAGATCCAATGATTATTGGGTGAATCATGTAAATGGTTTCCTCGGTTTGCCATTATTATTCATAAGAATAGTGAAGATCCTTCATCTAGTGCGCAACAGGAGATCCAATGATTATTGGGGGACGATGCTTTGTAAGGAACATGAAGGCGAGGGACCTAAACATTGTTATAGAGGAAGTATAGTGTTTTTAGTTGATTTTGATCGACATTTTTGTGCTCTTATATCTTATGTGTGTATGTGGTGAATTCACTGTGTAATTGTGCATATGTATATGGTGCGAGTTTGTGTAGGTGTGTAAAGAAAAACAAGGTTCTCGTAGCTACTTATCAGCGAATTATTATTTTTAACCACTGCTCAAGCAATTGTGAATTTGCTTAATTATTTCAAAAATTATATCTTTGATGCGTATAAATGATTATTACATTCTCTCTTTATGCGTTTGTCCTCTTGGTCCAAAGGAGAAGAAAATTCTGTGCGTTTAGATGACTAAATATGTCCATTTGCCTTTTCCTAAGAGTTCAGAACTTGAAGATAATATGTTCAACCTGTTCTCTTTTCAACTTGAAGTTAAGGAATTTTCATAGTCACAAAGCCTTTTGGAGAATGAGGCATAGCTCCTAATTTAACATTTGTTTCAGAGTTATTCTTGGTTATTTGTGAAGTTGGGGCTTCACAAATGCTCCAATGATAGTGATTGATGCATTGGTCTTTTCCCATTTGTTAATGAATATCATTGAGGTTGATTCTTTAACCTTTATGCTCTAAACTCTGAATGATATTCTCTTTCTCCAAAGCATTTCATGTGTGTGTGCGTGCGTGTGCGCGCGTGCGTGTATTGAAATTCTTTTGTTTGTCTTGTGGTCTTGCTGTAATTTTTTAGTGGGCCTGTTCCGTAAGAACATCGGATTACCTAGGGTGAGTCGCCTCTTGGTTTGATCTTTCCTCATCTTATGGCAGAGATGGGGCATGCCATTTCACAGTCATTAATTCTCGAGTGTTTTAACAGTCTTGTTTCCGTTGTTGATAACTTGAACTGTTGTCATGGAAGCTTTATCTCCATTTGCTTATATTTCTAGTGTTCATGTAGCAGAATGCTTTTTAAAAATTAGTCAGTCTGCTACTGGTGTATCTGTTGACTCAGCAATACTGCTAAGATCCATTACTATCTATCTTGCATTTCTGCTCCTGATCCTGGAAAGCAGCTAAGAAATTATGAAATTCTGATTGATCAGAGTATCAGATCAATGCTATTAAGAACAGGCAACACTATTGATGCTTCAAATGACTTGAAGTTGATGCTGGCCCTTCCCCAGGTGCTGTTGATCCTTTCATCAACAAAAAGATAAAGATGGGCAAAAGTGGGATTATCCGCCTTTATTGTTGTAAAATTTTACAAGTTTTATGAGAGAAAAATACAAGTTGGCATCTGATCTTTCCCAACTGCCAATAGCTACTGATGTAATTAAATTGAAATATAAAAATAGTTAATCTAAATTATATTCTATGAATAATTTATATTCTCAAATTTATTTGGTCTTCCATAACCAATTTATTTAGCTCTAGTTTCAATTGCATCAACAATCTGTCTTTTAATTTATTTAGATAATTTTATGAAGCATGTTTTTATCAATCTCATGCAAAAGTTTTGCTATTATGGTTGGCAAATCAAACACAATAATGTATACGTAAACTATAGAAAAAAAAAAAGAAAAATGTTTCAGCTCAAAACACTGCATCTAGGGGCTGTGCATTAATCGGTTAAATCGTAACGTCAAATTACAGTGCATCAAACCATCAATTTTATATCATTGATAGTAAAAGGATAATTTGGTTAGAACCAGTGTCAGCGTCTGAAGGTTTCCCTATCACGATCCGATTGTATCTTTGGAAAAAAAAAATCAATTGCTCCTTGTTAAAAATATATAATCCTTGATAAAGTTACTCGTTTTAAATAAAAATTATAATATTTTTAAATTCGAATATTTTTAAGTGAACAATTTGCTTGGTTTGCATTCTTTTGGGCGTATGAGCTAAAGAAAACCTAGCTTTTATATAGCCATGGCAGATTTTACAGTAGCTTTATATGCAAGCCCACCTAACACCCGATAAATTCTATTGTTATTCAACTCATCTAAAATTCAATTCATAATTCCTAATAATAATAATAATAATAATTTTGACAAAATTCTCTAAATTCAGCTGCAGAATCCAAAGCTAGGAGTTTATCCTACACAATTAATTCAACCTATACTGCAATCCTTTCAACAAAAATCAAAACTTGTGAATTCCAACTAAAAGATTCAAAATATAGCTTATGAGTAGCACAAAAAGGCTGAAATTTGAAATTTTTTTTTGTTAAAAATGACCGGCAGTAGCAATAAGGCACCAACACTATCGCTGTCGCCGCTGACCTGGCCGGAAACAAGTGGAAAGGTGGTTGGAGGCACGTTGGAGGCGAGGAGAGAGTCCGCATTAGTAATTAGTGAGAATTCTATCATCTAATTTGTGTGTGACTCTACTTTTTCTAGTAGGATTGCACTTATATATACATAAGAGTTTTTATCAATAATAACGAATACTCTTCTATTCACTCTCTATTTTCTCTATTCTCCCTGTATTTCTCTTTCTAATTTTATATTATTTTATAAGAGAGTATCATAATATAATAACGGAATATCGCCTAGTTTGAAAGATAAACGGGGCAAATAGAACATTTGCGAATTTCACAACCCGGTTTAAGAACTAGCATTAAAAAAAAAAAAAAAAAAAAAAAAAAAAAAAAACAACCCGTTTGAAGACAACTAGCATTAAAAAAAAAAAAAAAAAAAAAAAAAAACCAAAAGGGAGAATTAAAAGAAAAAAAACGCTGGGCTTTAAGACCTGAAGCTTTCTCCAGCGCGCGGAGATTGCCGTCCTGCTTGTTGCTCGACGTGGGATGTACCATGAATTCACTGTGTAGAGCAATTGCACAATCGAGAAGGATCTGCAGTTACCCCTCTACGATTCCATGCTGGCATCATCTTTCTTCATTTTCTCTGTCTTATTCTTCGTACTCCACTACTATTACTAGAGCCTAGCTCCATCGAGATATCCATACCGAAATCACCTGTCACTGCCGTCATCCTCCCGATGTTGCCAAAAAACCCCAGGGAGAGTCCAGGTTCAGGCAAAGTTGAAAAAAAAAAAAAAAAAAAAAAAAAAAAACAAAAGGAGAATTAAAAGAAAAAAAAACGACTGGGTTTAAGACCTAAGCTTTTCTCCAGCAGCGCGGAATTCCTCCTGCTGTTGCTCGACGTGGGTGTACCATGAATTCACTGTGTAGAGCAATTGCACAATCGAGAAGGACTGGCAGTTACCCTCTACGATTCCTGCTGCAATCATCTTTCTCATTTTCTTCTTCTTATTCTTCTACTACTACTATTACTAGAGCTACTCCATCCGAGATATCCATACCGAAATCACCTTCACTGCCGTCATCCTCCGATTGGCCAAAACCCAGGGAGATCCCATTTCAGGCCAAAGTTGCCAATTCCATTAGTTTGATTGGATATGTAACTGAGCCCGTTGAATTCCTTACTTCTCCTGATGGGAACCATTGGGCTACCACTGTCTTCTCCCAGCAGAGCTCTCCTTCTCGTACTCCTCTCTGGTAATTTCTTTTATTTTCTCTTTTATAGTAGACAATTTGTTGGTGACTCCATTATTTGCAGTACACCCTGGTTACTAGTTAGAGTTAATGCGTATATCTTAGGTGCTTGTAGGGCTGTTCTTCTTTACAGAGACAGGGGAAGTTCTTCCTGTTTAATCCCTCTTTGGGAGACTAAGGAATAAGAGACGTTTCAAAAGATTGGAAATGCCTTTGTCTAACCTCGACTTCCAAGTCCTTTTTTGGTTTTGCATATTTGGTCGACAGTCAATATAACCATAGCTTAAAGTAAAAGGGAAATGATTATAAATTTATTTGAATTCTTAAATTGAATTGATGGCAGAACTTTGTAATATGACTCTTTGTTAAGTGAAGTTGGATATTCTCATTGACATTGAAAAGCAGTTTGAATTTCTTTCTATTGGTTTTAATGAGCTTACTTGTCTTACCCTTTTTGTTTCAAAGTATAACCCCTACAATAGATTGTTTCATTGGTTTAAAAACTGTTTGATTATTGAATTTCTAGTCTCGTTTGAAAATTTGTCTTTTACTACCATTACAAGCGAAATTTTATAGTTTTCAAGTTTTTGCTATTTAAGTGTAAAATAGCTTGGACTTGTGTATCTCTTTATTTATTTATTTATTTTTTGTTTTAGTATTTTAGGACATTGTTATTTATTATCAACTGGTGGTATAATGGGAGTTTTAATTGGATTCTCATGGTTGATTTTGTTTTTTGATATTATTCTTATTATTCACTTCATTTTATTGGGTGCTGCAGTTAGTTAACTTTTCATTTCTTAATATATCAGGATTCCAATAATATTTGAAGGTGATTTGGCTCATGTGGCTGCTTCCCACATTAAAAAAAATGATCATATCTACATAGCTGGACAACTAAGTACAACTCCTCCTATTGATGTAATTCAGGGTCAAACTCCACTCCTGGTAAGGTTATTAGTTATAGGCATGAGGATATATTTTATGAGGCATATTTACATGTGTAGTTGCATATATAGACACAAAAAACACACTCTACCAGAGTTGAGGATATATATGTAGATTTTCTTTCTTTAATCCATAGTATATATCAAGCCTGTATTTATGCAAATATCTATGCCTATTTCTAACTACATCAAATCTTCCTAATTAAATGCTTAGATATACAGGTAACACAAAAAGTAAAAATAACGGCATACACAAGTCAAATATTACAGGATTCAATCCAACACTACCCTCAAGTTGGTCCATTGATGTTGGACATGTCCAACTTGCAAACTAAGTTTGGAAGTGTTTGCTATTAAGCCCTTTAGTAAACACATCAGCAAGTTGATTATTTGAGGTCATATGTGTGAATTTCAAGAGACTTTGGATAATATTCTCCTTTATAAAGTGTTGATCAATCTCTATATGCTTGGTTTGATCATGTTAAATTGGATTTGGTGCATTACTAATAATTGCCTTGTTGTCACAAAACAAGGGTAAACCTTCCCTTCTTAACACTCACACTTATTCCATCATCTTCCTCATCCACAACGAACACCTTGAGCAATGGCTCTATATTTTGCTTTTGCACTTGAACAAGTCACTGCATTCTATTTTTTACCCCTTCAAGTAATTAGATTGCCACCAATAAAAGTGGAATAACCAGATGTTGATCTCCTATCATTGAGAGATCTAGCCTTATCAACATATATAAAGGCTTCTTGAGGTGATCATGCTTGGAGAAGAATAATCCTTTTCCAAGTGTAGAGTTAAAACATTTTAAGATGCGAAAATAGGTTCTAGAACTGTGATGATCATGCATAATTGACTAACTAGACTCTCATTATAAGCAACATTTGGTCTAGTATGTGAAGACAAATCAATCTTCTCACCAATATGTGATATCATCCAAGTCAACTAAGTCACTTTCACTTGCTTGCAATTTGTGATTAGCCTCAATAGGAGAATCTTTGGTTTACAATCCAACATAACAATCTCTTATAGGAAATCAAGGATATACTTCCTTTGAGAGATGAAAATCCCTTTACATCTAGCAATTTCTATACCAAGAAAGTATATAAGCCCCTAAAATCTCAAACTCACGAGCCGATAATTTCTTTAGTTGAGAGTGTTGGACATTTTAGTCCATTGTAGGCTTGATCTCCAATATTGGCCTTGTAGGTTGGCGGGCTTCTTGTTAAATGACCTTACTTTGGACTAATCCAACTTTTATGGCCTTCAATTTTCCATCTCTTTCCAATGTGGAACTTTTTGTCCCTTATCTTCTCCAACACTCCCCTCAAGTGCAACTGAGTTGGGCTTTCTTTTTGAGGTCCAATTGTCACTCGGTCTTTATATGGATTGATCCAGACCTAGCTCATTGGGCCCAATATTCAATTTGCCTCAAGCTTTCTTCGTATGGGTCTAGCTCTCTTTGGCTCCTTGGTCCTTCATTTTGTCTATGGTCCTCATCTTCCAAGTGCAACCTCTTTATGTAAGTGGGTTGTCATCTTGCGCTTTTTATTTTTCCTCCTTTTTTTTAAATGGGCCTCGAAGGACTCTCTAGGACCTTCATGGCCTGTTAGGGCACTGGCAGGCTTTGGTACCATATTGACTAAGAGTGAGCAAATGAACGAACCGAACCAAGGCAAAAAAAAATGTAAAATCGAACTCTTCTTATCAAAACCGAACCAAACTGAAATTGACAGCTGAATCGAATTGACTTGAACTGAACCAGTTGGTTTTGATCGGTTTTTACCATTTGGTCCAAACCGACAAAATCTAATACCCTTTGAGCAAGCTTTGCACACCTCTAATATTGACAGTGAAGAGAGGAAGAGAAAATTGATTTTCTGTAATTTCCTATCTTTAATCCATACATCAACCTTCCATTGATAAACATATTTGTGCCTAGTTCTAATTACATCAAGTCTTCCTAATTAAATGTTTAGATACACAAGAAACACACAAGTCAAAACGTTATAACAACATATAATCCAACAAAATACTGTAGATACTACAACTTCATAAGATTACATTCCTCGAAAAGGCGCTTGCCCGCAAGCACAAAGGATGGATGGCATATAATCTTCAACTTATAATAATGTGAAACAAATAAAATCCTTATCACTCTTTATTATTGCTGCAAATAAGGAGCTGTTTGGTGATTCCTTGAATCATGCAATTCAATGGTTCTACTGTGCTTTAATACTTAATTATTCCTGGACGAAATGACTCCTCTAGTACTTCCTCTATGTCATTCTCAAATTGCTTCTTCCCAATTCCTTCCAAGCGAAAGGAAGCTAGTCTCACTTTTCCTCCTCTGAAGTCTATTCATTGCAAAAGAAATGTTCACATCTGCTAAGCCATCCCAAAGGATCCTCATGGTCATTGAAACAAGGAAAATTCAACTTTGAATTTTGAAATGATGGCACTACCCTCAAATGATTATGAACCTACTAGACCTTGTCCTTACGCTGCTCAACTATGATTGCTCCCTTCTACTGTTGATGTTTGTTTTGAATTAGAAAAAACACTAATTAGGTTTTTGTCGGACTTTATTGGCAGCTTATTCCTCTAGGAATAAGGTCAGAATTCTATCAAGTTGCTTTTGATTATAGTCACCCATAACTTTTTGCTATAATACAAAAATGTTACGGCCCCCAAGTTTGGATCTAGTTGTGGATATATTTGATTGATTTAAATATAGAATTACAGCTCATTAAGAGAGAAACCTATAATATGTTAGGGCTTGTTGAGAGAGAACTCAGTCTCTAAATTTTATGATATTCAGCTTACATCTTTGATTAATCCACAGTCTTTTAAACAAGTAAACGCAAAGCTAAAGACTGTTAACTACTCCATTGGCCACTACAATAACAACCCAAACTGCCCATTACAATAAAGAACTTGCTTAACCACCACCCACCAATAAAGAAACTGCTTCCCACCTTGTTAGCTACACATGAGAAAAAAAGAAGTGTATTTCTAAATAAAACTACTCGAAGAACAACAGCAAATAGAGCAGCTCTGTAACATGAACACATTGAAATTGTAGGAGAAAAATGAAGGCTAGATATAAGATGGCACCTCGATGTAGCATATGTTCCTTCCCATGATTGTAACCAGAGTCCTAATAATGATCCAAGCTTTGCTTTTCAATGTGTCTATGATGATTCTGAATGACGTTTAAATTTTGAATAGGATAATGGTGGTTTCTACATGTTGGAACTTGATGTAATAGGAGAATGCATGTGAAGCTGCATAATTTTCAGTTAGATTTTGGCAAGTGGTGGCCAAAGATTGAGTTGTTGATGGTTGGGAAAAACCCCTTTTACTTAAAAACCTATAGAATGTTGCTGCAAGTTGGGTTTCTCAACTGCCATATGAGGCTAATATGATGTATATGGCCTAGAAATCAGTAAATTGCTGCTATAGATGTGATTTTATGGAGCTTCTCTCTATTATTGTTCAAATCAGCCTGATACCTGCACTAAAATATGGTGTTATGCAAGAAAACCCTTTTTTATAAACATGAAGAGTTCATATAAGTGCCTCAGCAATTGAGGGGAAAGGAAATTTTTGTGCCATTTTGGTGTCATACAGTATTATTGACTTATATCTAAAAGACTAAAAACTATTATGAGACCCCCTGAATTTATCATGTTTTGCCTATTGAGCACTTGACCTTTAATTGCTCCACATTAAGTCCTTGAACTTTTCTTTTTCACATTAGTGACTTTGTTGAGGCAAAAGTAAGGCTTATGACAGATTCATTGATCATAGTTAACAAATTACTTAGATTTTTTCTGCTTCTCGATAAATTGCACTATTTAATAGATAAAACTTGAAAAGCTAGAGGGCATAAAGATAACATTTTTTTCTTTCTTGTAACCCATTTTGAAAAAAAATGAAAATTGTTTAGGTGCCTTTAAATCTTCTTTAATGAATTTTTCACGACTTCTACTTTTGCAATCAACAAAGTCATCAATTTTGGTTTTCAATGTGAAAACCAAAAGTGAAAAGTTTGAGAGCTTACGGAGCAATCAAAGTTTAGGGAATAATAGATGAATGCAATATTTTTAGGGCTCCCAAGATGGGTGTTTCCTATATCATTAAAGTTTCTTTGAATAGTATTCCAATAACATAAAAGTACAAAATCAAATGCTTTATCAATTATATTTTTTTAATTGGCATTGAAAAGAAACACAATATTTCTTTGTGTTTTATTTATTTTTTATTTGTAGAACTTTTCTTGAAAAGGAAGAAAGTTTGTTAACATGGTACAAATATAATCCCGTAAGGCCATCCAAATAGTCACCTTATGGATAATGCTCAAGCCTAACTGCATCTTAGGTCCAAATGACAATGAACACCACATTGAACTAAAATGATTCAACAAGATCTGTCTTTTTAATGTCCGAGTGCTGAAGCACGTGATATTTTTTTTTTGATCTCTTCTGTAATTTAACAAACCTGAGTGCTAAGTTTGTGGTGCCATTAGTGTTGTGTTATACAGTAATGAGATCCTTTTCTGTGTGATACACGTGTTACAGAGCTTGGTAATAAAAATGTGTGTAGATTGATGGGTAGATATGCATACTAGAGACTTTCTAATTATGTTCAATTGATATTCAAGGTGTTGTCATGCTAGATTATGGTACGTGATATCAACTTTGTCCAAGTATCTTCCGAAATTACAAAAAGCCATGGGTGTTGGCAACAAGAAGGTTTTTCACCCAAGCAAAATGCAGAGCAACAAAAAGAAAAGACCTTAAAGGATTATGGTAAGTACTTGTTTTATATCTTTTCTTGCTCATGTTAATATGTTTTTATCACCTTACTTGTGCTATTAGGCTGTTCATATTTTATGTTTTCTCAATTGCATTGCACATTTTATATTATAGGTTATGCTGCATGTCTTGTGTAATTTTATTCTTGGTTCTGATAATTGAATTATATGACTAATGTTTTAGATAGTGTGAAGAAATATGGTGATTTTGGATTTGATTCCTGGAAAGACCTTCTTGATAATCCAAAGCAATGGTGGGATTACCGCAATAGTAAACTTAGTGGATTGGTGATGATTCCTTTTTCTGATTGTATCTTACTGATAATTTAGCCCTTAAATTAGAGGATCTGTTATTGAATAAACTCTTCTAATTTAAACAGACAAATCCAAAGCATCCTGACTTCAAACGCAAGGATGGTTCTATGTCTCTCTGGCTTAATAGGGCACCGGCGTGGATTTTGTCAGAACTTGAAAAGATGGAGTTTGATGTACAAGTTCCTAGGTCAAAACAAGTGAAGAAGCATAAAGGTACAAACAATGTCCTAACATGTGTATATTACCTTAAGCTGAAAAATAATATCTGCATAGCATAATAGACAAACAATGATAGACAAAAATAAAGAACAGAAAGACATGCCACAAAGATGTCAAGTGGTTTAGCAATGTGTCTCTGTGCAAAGAGTTGCTTGCTTCGTTTTTTCTTCTTACTATGGAGGGAAAACAAAAAAGAAAAGAAAAAGATACAGCGACAAGACACAATGTTTAAGGTTTCTCCCATATACCCATTATCTATAGATACTAGAGAGAACTAAAAATGTATCAACTATTATCTGTTATGGAAACTTTTCCTAATGCCGAAACTTGTGTTGTACAATCTCCATCTGACTTGGTGTGGGCTTGAGCCTAGTTTTGCCTTGCCTAGTTGGTGTAAAGCTGTACATGAATTATAATTATTAGGTCGTGAGGTTTTCCATACCTAAATTTTACAGCTAAAAGCATTTCGTTATTTTCTGTTATCTAGATTTCTTAACAAGTGAAATAGCATAATTAAATGGTAGAGAAAAATTTGGTGTTTTGATCATAATAAACGCCAAATTGCTAAATTAACTACAAAAATGTTCTTTTTTTTTTATTAAAAAAGTAATTTATATTTACCCTGAATAACATCTAAATTAAGAAAGACCCAACTAATACTTGTCAAGTCAATGTAACCCCTGGGAAATTATGTTTGAGGTTGCTGAATCAATGAATTAGCGAATTGCAAATTATTTATTTTAAGCTATAGATAAAATTAGCAGGTAATGCATTAAAATTGGCATGGTGCTCTACAATTGCTACATCACTACAAATAGTCAAACATGGTTCAGCTACCCCACAAACATCCTGATGACAGCAGTAATAGACAGGTACTGAGTCTATTACTAGTTACTGTTTGGACAGAGAGTTCTTGAGAAATTAAGGTAAATGAACGTAAAGTTGAGTTTTTTTAGTTGTTTGGGAGGAGGGATATCTTAAAAGAAAGTTTTTGAAGGTTATTTGGGGGTTTTCCCTTTCCAACCCACTGATTTGAGGTGTTGGAAAGAATTTCCCATATTGTCTTTGTTAATTTTTTAGAAACTCCAAATTGCCCCACTCATCTCTTTTCTAATTTTGTTCTTTTTTCTTCTTGTTTCTCACCTGTAGCCTTCTTAAAAAACATCTTTAAATATCTGAAGTGTTCATAAATTAATATCTTATAAAAAATAAATCTAATCAATTTAAATATTTTTTTTGAAAAATCAATTTAAATATTTTACATAATAATTTTCATGAAAAGATACTTTTGTAATTTATATTTAACCTTACCTTCTAATACCTTCAAACCAAACAACACTAGCTTATTAAAACTTAATTTTGAGTAATAAATAATGCTAGTCTCTAGAGAGTAAGTAATACCCTCCTTTCCATTGTTTTCTTATCTGTTATCCCTATTCTTCTCTCTCCAACAAAATCTGATTTTGTGCCATTCTTATACAGTTGAACTTTCTCAGTTGCTCTTGCCTTTTTAAGATCTCATCTCCTTTTTTTCTTCCCCATTTTTCTAGAAAGATAGCCATATTTCAAATTGAAAACTGAAATGGATCTCCAACTTTGGCAGTCCAAAATAAGTACCATTGCATTCTGGATTGCTGAAGTACTGGAAATTGGGATGTACATCCTTGTCTTTGGTATTGGGAGAGGGGGAATAGAATTAGGTATATATGATCTAGAGCTTCAAGTGTATGATGCCTTCTGTTGAATACATGCCATGATATCAACAAGTTGCCTGCACTTCTAATTCGCATATGAAATTTAGTAAGACAGGCTACTTGTTTGATACACACAAGGGAATTAGTAAGACAGGCTACTTGTTTGATACACACAAGGGAATGGATAAGAATGGGAATAAGTATTCCTATTTCTATGTTTGGTATGCAGCATAGGATAAAAATTCTAATTCAATTCCTTTATTTCATTACAGTAATGAGGGCATGAGTGGAATGGGGAATCACCAAAAGACCAAAATGAGAAGGGCATTTTTTTTACTAATTTTGTCAAAAAAAAAAAAAGAAGGAATATTTTGGTTTTTTAGACAAAAAAAGCTTATTTCTTGTCTATTCTAACCCCCCCTCCAGGGAATAATGATTCATTATTTCTTCCCTTATTCCTATTATCCCTCCTTACTTACATGAGTGAACAATGAAATGGAAAATTAAGATTCTATTCCCCGCTCCATTCCATGTAGTGAATATATGGCTTTAGTTTTTTTTTTTTTTTTCCTTATTTATCCCTCCTTACGTTACATGAGTGAACAATTGAAATGCGAAACTTAAGATTCTATTCCCCGCTCCATTTCCACTGTAGTGAATATATGGCTTTTAGTTTTTTTTTTTTTTTCAAAGGTCGAGTGTCTTATAAAGTGAAAAAATGTTGATACACCTTTTCAACTTTTATGGGTCAAGGTTTCTTAAGGGTTTTTGCAAATACATCTACCTCCACCACATATAAAATCTCCTCTCTCCTAGAAGTTTTGTAATTTTACAATAATACAATGTTCATGCACATTCTTAAAGAGGAACACCTCACTCTATATAAAAAGTGTATGGCATTGCTTCCTTGTGATTTAAGTGCGGAAAAGTTATTTCTTGCCTCTACTTTCATTAATAGGGACATTATTATATATACACATACAAAATACTAACCTATTAGGAATCTAACTCCAATCTAACTCCTAACAGAATTCTATTTACAACTAATCCTTAACACTCCCCCTCAAGTTGGAGTATAGATGTTAATTATGCCCAACTTGTTACAAAGATAATCCACCCGAGGTCCATTTAGAGCTTTTGTAAAGATATATTCTAACTGTTCACTTGTTTTAACATGCCCTGTAGAGATAACATCCTGTTGTATCTTTTTTCGAATGAAATGACTATCAATCTCGATATGTTTTGTTCGTTCATGGAATACTGGATTTGATGCAATGTGAAGAGCAGCTTGATTATCACACCATAACTTTGCAGGCAAGGGATGACTTTGAAGCTAATTTCCTCTAACAACTGACAAAATCCAAATAATTCACAGCAGATGTGCGCATAAGCTCGATATTCTAATCAGCACGTCGGATCGTCGAGACCACATTTTGTTTCTTGCTCCTCCACGATTATCGCAGTTTGCACCTAAAAGACAACAATATCCTAAAGTTGATCTTCTATCAACCTTTGAACCTTGCCCAATCTGCATCTGAAAAAAAACACTCAATATGTCCATATGATTGCCCGATGATTGCCTGTAAAGCAGTCCACGACCTGGGATTACCTTTCAAGTAGCCACAAATCTTTTGTTCCTAAGCTTCCCAATGGATAACAGAATAGGAGAAAAACGAGAAACCCATTAAAAAAAAAAAAAACTGGGGGGCTTAAGACGCTTCACAGAGTTAAGCCAAATATCTGGACGTGTTACTGGTTAAGATAATTCATATTTACCCCATAACCCTTCCATACATTCTCAGGATCATCAAATAGCTCCAACCATCAATGAAACTTGCATAATTTAGGAGTCATTGGAGCACTGCCCTATGGGCTTTGGCACCCAACTTTCTACGTTTCCTTCAGGTAAGTCAAGGATCATAAACTTTCCTTTTTTTGAGGAAATTAACCAAAAAACAATAAAAATAAAGGATGCCTTCCCTTACACCTAGATACTTCAATACCCAAAAAATACATCAACAATTCCTACGTGTTTTTTGTTTGGAAACTAAATTGTACAGAATGACTTGAGTGATTAATGCCGGCTGAATCACTACACCTGTAATAACAATGTCATCAACATAATACCACAAGTAGAATCAAAACTAATCTTTAGTACTTTCTGCAAAAATTACAGAATGATCAGAAAGCAACTTTAATCTTAGATACTTCAATACCCAAAAAAATACGTTCAACAATCCTAGGTTTTTTGTTTGAAACTAAATTTGAGAAAATGCGACTTGACGTTGGATTTAATGCCGGCTGCAATCACCCCTGTAATAACATATTGTCATCAACATAAAACCACAAGTAGAATCAAAAACTAATCTTTAGTTACTTCTTGAAAAATACAGAATGATCCAGAAGCACTCTTTCTTGTCTGCATGCCAAATTGATGTACCACATTGCAAAATCTACCAAACCAAGCTCGAGGACTTTGTTTTAGGCCATAAAGAGATTTTCGAAGTTTACATACTGTACCTGACTCCCCCTGAGCAACAAAGCCTGGTGGTTGCTCCGTGTAAACTTCCTCCTGAAGATCCCCATGAAGAAAGGCATTCTTAATGTCCAACTGATGTAAAGGCCAGTTAAAAGTAGCTACTAAAGAAATAAATAAACGAACAGAAGATAATTTGGCGACAGGAGAAAAAGTATCAGAATAATCAAGACCATAAATCTGAGAATAACCCTTTGCAACTCATAAAATCTGAGAATAACCCTTTGCAACAATCGAGGCCTTGAGACGAGCAACAGACCCATCAGGATTCACTTTTAACGGTGATAACCCACTTACAACCAATAGCTTTCTTACCTGCCGGGAAGAGGCACAAGATCCCAAAGTACCATTACAAGATCCCAAGTACCATTAGTATCTAAGGCAGCCATCTCCTCTTTCATTGCTGCACACCAACCAGGATGGGACAAAGCTTGGATAACAGTTTTAGGTATAGAGACATAATCTAGGTTACTTACAAAACGAGATGAAGAAGAAAGGTGATCATAACTGACAAAAGAGGAAATAGGATAGGTACACTTGTGTTTACCTTTTTGAAGAGCAATGGGAAGGTCAAAATCTGATCGGGGAGTGGATGGCACAGGCTCAGGTTGAGTGGAGTGAGCCAGATCTTCTGTTGAAGCGGCAGGTGAAGGAAGTGAGTTAAGAGTTTCTGGTCTCCTGGAATAAACCTATTCAAAACGAGGGTGAGGAGATGCTGGTGCAGGAGCGGGAATAAGAGCAGATGCTGTAGCAGGAGCAGGTGCAAGTTTAGGAATAGGAGCAGGAGCAGGAGAGTTATGAAATTGCTGGATAGCATAAACTAAAAACTTATCATCCTCCCCCTCACTCTTATATATAGAAGAAGGAAAAGAAAGGAGTATTCTCAAAAAATGTGACATCTGCAAAAATAATATAACGGTCAAGATCGGGAGAGAAACAACGATAACCTTTTTGACGCCGAGAATACCCAAGAAAAACACAACGAAGGGACTTTGGATCTAATTTGGAAACTTGTGGACGAACATCACGAATAAAACAAGTACAACCAAAAATACGAGGTTCAATGGAGCGTTCAATGGGGGAAAAGAAGCTTAGAAGGAAACAAAAAACATTATAAGGAATTGCACCATTTAAGCACAGAAAGAAAAGGCAGCGATTAATCAAAAAACATGCAGTTAGGAGACAGCATCGGGCCGCAAAAATGTTTGGGGGACCTTCATTTGGAATGAAAGTGCCCTAGCAACCTCAAGAAGCTCAAGAAGATGTCGATTTTTCCTTTCTGCAACCCCATTTTGGGAAGGAGTATCAACACAAGATGTTTGATGGAGAATACCATTCTGTGACATATAAGATTGGAATGAACTAGATATATATTCTTTAGCATTATCACTGTGCAATGTGCAAATAGAGGTATTAAATTGAGTTTTAATCTCAGCACAAAACGAACAGAAAATAGAGAATATCTCAGAGCGAGTTTTCATTAAAAATAACCAAGTAACACGAGAATAGTTATCCACGAACGTTACAAAATACCGAAAGCCAGTTTTAGAAATAACAAAACAGGATATTAGGACCCCAAACATCAGAATGAACTAACTCAAAAAGGGATTCAAACCTGTTTATTTGCACGCGGGAACTAAAGGTAAACGATGAATTTTTGGGCAAACTTTGACAGATTCACATTCTAAAAATGACAGACTGAAACTGCGGACCACAACTTCTTTAAATAGACAATGAAGATCTGACCCAAACGCACAATGAATGAAGGATGACCCAAACGACAATGAACCTTAAGAGGAGATAGAGCACCAGCACAAGTCAAAGATAACGAAACATGTTCATCCAGAAGATAAAGGCCACCAAAATCATGTCCTCTACCAATAATCCGCTTCGTCAAAAGATCTTGAAACACACAATATGTGGGATAAAATTTAACACAACAATTCAGTATACGAGTAATTTTGCTAACCGACAGTAGATTAAACAAAAAATGAGGCAAGCAAAAAAAAGAATATAATGGAAGAGATGGAATGGGATTGGCAGTGCCAATACATTTGACGGAAGATGTGGACCCATCAGCTAGAGTAACATGACGATTAAATTGTTAAGGTTCTTTTAATGAGGATAAGAGACTAGGGTTACCTGTCATGTGATCTGTGCAACTAGAATCAATGAGCCACTTTGATGAGGTAGACATAAGACATGAAGGAGTACCTGAATTGGCAGCAGCAGCAATCACGAAATCAGTAGAATTAGAAGAATGGTATCTAGAGAGCTTAGCATACTCCGTAGCAGAAATTGTTAGTGTTATCAGAAGAAGTAACTGCAGAATTTTGAGTGGCCATATTTACCCTTGGTGGCTTATTGATCAATTTCTTGCAATACCGTTTAGTGTGACCGGGTTCATGGCAATAATGGCAGATAAGAATACTTGCATAATGGCAGTATAAGAATACTTTTGCTCCCGAGTAATTGGTTCCATTACTACGGGTTATTTCCTCCTCCTTTCCTCGTTTCCTGGTTTCTTGCAATACCGTTTAGTGTGACCGGGTTCATGGCAATAATGGCAGATAAGAATACTTGCCTCCCGAGTAATTGGTCCATTACTACGGTTATTTCCTCCTCTTTCTCTGTTTCCTGGCTGCCTAGCTACCTGATTGTGACTCACAAGGGCACTGTTATCAGAAGGGGAAGGAGTATGAGAACCCTCAGTACGTAGCAATCTAGCAAAAGTCTCTTGAAGAGAGGTAACATCACTGCCTGAAAGAATCTGTGATTTGACATTTTCAAAAATCGGAGCAAGACTTGCAAGAAAACTCATTACAGCCATTTGTTCTCGCTGGGTCTGTTGACCCTTAACATCGGGACTAAAAGGCAATAAAACATTAAGTTTCTCGTAAATCTTCTTAAATTCCATGAAATAAGCTGTAAGGGGCTTATCTTGCTGGTTGGCTCTATAAAATCCTTTGCAGACCTCATACATACGAGACAGATTAACTTTTCCCGAATACAAGAATTCAAGATATTCCATTAATTCTTTAAAAAATTCACAATAATTGATTAATCCAACCACTTCACTGTCAATAGAATTGCGAATCAGTAGAAATAACTTAGCATCTTCCCTGAGCCAATGTTGTCTAGTGTCACCAGTTGGTGGATAATCAATTAGATGATCATCTTTTTCAACACTCCGCAAATAAATTCTAATTGTTTCACTCCAATCTAAATAATTCGTTTCTTTCAATTTATGTTCTGTGATTTTATTCATTGCTGGGATCAATTCAGTAATAATAGTTTTAGAATCTGTAGGTTCAGGATCCATTACTAATAAAAACTAAAGACCCTACCAGCAACGCAGAAAGAGATACCCAAAGAAAAAAAACATAGTCTTTCAACGCAAACAGGAGCAAAAAGTAACCTGAAATGCCAAATTGAAAAAACTGAGAACGCCCCTACCAAAACTTCGCGGGATCAGAAAAACAACCACTTGAGTAGACTGCTGACTTGGAAACAAAGCCAAAGGACTATTTTCGATTGTCGAAAACAGCCGGCACGTGGTACTGTAGCAGAAAACAGAATCGGCAATCCGGTGGCCGGATTTGGAGGGAACGCCGGTCGGCAGCTGCAGAAGCTTCTAAGGTGGGCAGCGAGACAAAACAATGACCCTAGAATGGTCACCAAAACTGACAGCCGCCGGAATTTCAACGGAAACGGAAAAAAAAAAGTTTAACGAGCCAAAGGCTCTGATACCATGTGTATTTAATGTGGAAAAGTATTTTCTTGCTCTATTTTCATCAGTAGGGATGCATATATATATACACATACAAGATAAATCTATTAGGAATCTAATTCCTAACAGAGTTCTATTTACAATTAATTCTTAACACTTCTTTCTACAAACATCATCGTCAGATTTGTCACTAGCATTACAACCATTTGTTGGAGAAATTATTAGGTAGATTATATCTACCACATCATCCATAGACTAGCCCAATCAAATAATACCACATCACATATTCTCTTAAAAATATATCAGGACATTAATTAATTACATTTTCTATTATTCTTCTCTTTCTATTTCATTAATCTTCTATTTTCTTTCTATTTGGTAGTATTTATGGTGCTTTTAAAATACATAAATCATATCTTATTTATTAAAATAGTAAATTTTTGAATATTTTACAAAATCATAGAAGTTATGACCTCTTGATTGTTAGGGTTAAGCAAAGGAGAACATGAAATGTGGGGTAGACTAGCAAATTATTCCATGATTTGTTGTTGTCTTTTAATAATTTATTTATATGTTATTTCATTTTTAGTTTAATTTTATTATATTTTATGAATGAATAAATTTTCAGTCTTCAATAAAGAGGAAGGTATTTTTGGAATTATTCATTCACCACTGAGAGTTTATTAATAAGTTGAAATATTTTTTTATCATAGAAGATGGGAAATTAATTGGAATAAGAATATACTGAATATTTGAATCTTGGATTTTTTTTTTCTTTATACTCTACTCAGATATCGTTGTTTACAATTTTTTCCTGAACACACTGCAAGTGTAATGTATCCAAAACCCCTTCCTTTGTGTCTATTGACATAAAAGTAACTTGATATAGGATAAAAGTTACTAAAAGAGAAAAAAGAAAGTTGATAATGGTATGTATTAATTTTTTTTTTTTAAAGGCTAAACAATGGATAATTACAGAGGTTCTTCGCAAACCAGATCTGGTAGTTTTCACCAGTGAAAATAGGAGGTGGAGATTGAAAAAACTATTGGAAGCCATTCTCAAAACTCTCAGGTGTTTAGGTCGCTTTTGCAAGGTCTTTTACTTCCCGTGAATCCTGTCATAGCTAGCTGTTATCAGAAAACAGAAGTACAAATTTCCCTCCAAAAACTTAATTAATAAAATTCCCACTTCTCAACATGATTGTGCCTACTAATGAGCACTGAACTCATTTTCAGCGTAGTTATGAATGAAATCAACTCGTGCAAGTGCGAGCTACATTGGTGTGCATGATTAACTCTTTTGTAATTTGATATTTATATAAGCCTAATATTGGACATACATTTGATGTTTGATATGTGCAGGTGGTTGAAAGGAATAAATTATTAAACGGATGATTGGCATCCTTATTCCACATCTTTTTGCCCTAGAATTTCTAATTAGCGATATGGTTTTATGTACTGTTTGCTTTAGATAGATATTTTAGACTTCTCAAATTATCTATACTGGCTTGTTTTAGGGGATGAATCTTGGAAGAACTTGGTAGAAAACACCAATAAATGGTGGGACAACAGATTAAATAAGGTAAGCCTTGATTTAATCATTGATATGGTTTATTTTTTGTTTGCTATTAACTTTCTCGCTTCTCCATTTGCAACATTCAGAGAAATGTGAAAGCTCCTGACTTTAAGCACAAAGAAACTGGCGAAGCACTCTGGCTGAATGATGCACCAACTTGGGTGCTCCCAGAGTTGCCACCAATAAAGAGTGAACAAAATGTTGCTGCTGGCAGGAGAGATACACTGCTATCTTGACCGGTGGACGAAGGGCCTTATGAATTTGTAATGAAGTTGGTTAGGCATATCGATGCTTAGTTTACTGCAGTATCTTCATATTTGCTATTCTTCAAGAAGAATATTGAAGTCATTATGATGATATTGCAGAGGAAAATCTTCCCTCAAATTGATTACATTAAAATTTCCGTGGCAGTAGATATTCACTCATATGTTCTTAATTTTGAAGTTCCTCAATGTGTTAGTCATTATATTCACCCGCAAATTGGAATTGGCTTAAGCCTTGTTGGTATGCTATATTGTGGGTAAGGGTGGCCACGGTTCCGGTTCTAGTTTGGAACCGGAACCAAACCCAGCAGTTCCGATTCTGGTTTCGGTTCCGGTACGGTGACAAAACCGACGGTTCCGATCGGTTTTCCGGCGAATCGCATAATTTTAAATTTTAAATTTTGAAGACCGGTTAGGTTCCGATTCTGGTTTCGGTTCCGGTACGTGACAAAACCGACGGTTCCGATCGGTTTTCGGCGAATCGCCATATTTAAATTTTAAATTTTTGATAAGAACCGGTTTTCAAAAATTTAATAAATTGTGAAAGGTTATTCTGCTTAAAAAAAATACATCCTAAAAATAAAAAATTCTTGAATTAAATTTATTTTTTTTAAAGACTTGAACATTAATTAATTTTTTAAAAAAAAAAATTTCTTCAACTAATTCTTCAACTGAATTTATTTTTTGTTTAAAAAAGTTTGAATATAATTTTAAAAAAAAAAAGGCTTGAACTTAATTTTTTTTTAAAAAAAAATATTAAGTTGTCTACGCATCCTCTTAGGGTTTAGAAGAATCAAAGCTCACGTAGTTCTTACTTACTTTATACCAATTTCACCCTTCTTACCTTAATCGCTATTTGCACCATCGGTTGATGTTCTCCCCAACGTATAAATCATATAAATTTTCATTTTCTTTTAGATTTTTTTGTGCTCTTAGTTCGCCCTTGCTCCAATCATCCACGCATGATTGTGCTTCTAATGAATTAATGAATGGGTTCATACGAGATCGTGTATTGATCAAGTATGTTTCCTCTTTCACTAAAAACTTGTTCAAACCGCAACAGTGTAGACCGAGTTGCTAAAACTTGTTTTTGCAATTAAAGAAAGTATTGGAAAAGTATTGACGTGACGACTCCACCAATCTAAAATCTAAAATTGGAAAATTAGTATCTGCATAATCATCACCAAACTCAAAAGAAGTGGTTAGATAATTATCAAATTCAGAAAAAGAACTGAATTCCCTTGGTCTTTTTCGTCTTTGTAGTAAAACTTGTTCAGCAACACCAATACCACTTACCTTTTGTGTTGGAAATTGTTGAATATTAGATTGAGAAGAATTAGAAGTAGATGAATTAGAAAATTGAACAAATTCATTATATAATTGCATAATATTTTGTTTAACTTCATGCAATACTACATTTATATTAACATTATCTCCTATATCAAGATTTAATACAAGCATTTAATACTCATAATAAATTAGTCAAAAATAATCACATAAAAACATCAATTTTACATCTAGGATTCAAATACAATAGCAACAAAGATAAAGGGTTTGCGTATATTTTTAAAATTAAGATAACTAATTTTTTTATTGAAAAAATACAATCTTTTAATAACAATCATTTTTCAAAATTCTTGGAGCTGCACTAATAATATTAATACCACATAGGGTTAAAAATAAGATGAGATGTGGGATAATAACCCCACTTAAATTTTTATAGGTAGCATCATTAAAAATTTTTAAAATATCTAAAATTTGCACAACTATCCCAATTTTGTGGATATTAAATTAATATCTTTCAATATTATTAGTAACAAAAAAAGCATAATAATCTTTTATAAGAAAAAGACTCGTTAGGTAATTCATATGTTGACATTCACAACGAGGTTGGGAACATCTTTGGAAAACGTTTTGGTTCCTTTTATTTATTTTTTTTTACAAAATTTAGCCCAACTTTTCATCACTTTGGGTGATGTCCCCCATAAATATTGAAATAGCTTTTTTAATTGGAGAAATAAAAGATTCAAGAATTTTTTAATAAACTATCTTGTACACATAAATTTTAAAACATGGCATGGCACATTCTTAATTGAAAAATTTCCCACCAATATTTGGTTCACAAATATTTTTGAAGTTCAATAATTATTTAGTCATTAGCAGAAGCATTATCAAATGAAAATTTGAAAAAATTTTTTTTTTTTTGTCAACTTATATTCATCTAAAATTGAAACAACTATTCTATAAATATTATTTGTAGTATGTTTATCATCAAAAACACGAAAAAGCAATAATTATTTTTTGAATTTTCCAATCATCATCAATCCAATGACATTTAATGCCATATAAAAATGCATTTGCCAATGATCACTCCAAATATCACAACAAATTGAAACACGAATTTTCATTTGTTCTAACTCTTTTTTTCCTTTATTATATAAAAAAATAATAGTTTGTTTTACAGTATTTCTTGGCACTCTTTTAGCAAAAGGATTTAAAGCTTTTTGACAATAATTATTAAAACCTACTTTTTCACCAACTTTCTTCACCAAAACTAAAAGTTGCTAAAGTCGCTCTTCCACTATGAAATCATTTTTTTGCTAATTCTTCTTTTTTGTATTTTTTCAGAATATTGAAATAAAGAAAGGTACAAGATGCGTACCCGGAAAATTTGTATTTGAGACGAATCAACTCCTATTTTTTGGTGGATTTTTGTCCTCCAAATGCTTCCCAAAATGATCCATTAGCCGCCCGGCTTGTTTTAATTCCATAGCCGCCCGCTTGTTTAAATTTATAAGATTTTCCATAATAATTGCAAATTACATCGTACATTTTCTCATCTTTGAATTTTTTCGTAAAATGAATGGCGAATATGTCGGAACTTTGTCTTGCTCTTCCAACAATTTGTGCTCGTTGCTCTTGCTTTTGCTCTTCCTCTTCTTGTAATTGCTCTTTAAATTTAGATTCTTGAGTTGAAATTTCTAAATTTTCATTTGGATATCCCTCAAAATTAAATTGGTTGGGAGTGAAATTATAGATGTCGTTTGTAGGAATAGATGAATATTGTGAAACCTACTTTTTCACCAAAACTAAAAGATAAATGTTCCATAGAAATCATTTTTGCTAATTCTTCTTTTTGTATTTTTTCAGAATATATAAATAAAGAAGGTTAGAAGCGTACCCGAAAATTTGCATGGTAAGAATATAGAGTAGAGTAGAGAAGAATAAATGATTAATATAGAGTAGAGTGTAGTATATGGTAGAGAGAGTAAGTAGAGAGTGTAGTATATTGTAGAGAGAGTTGAGATGTTTTTGTAATGAATTTGTAAATAAAATGAGGTATTTATAATAAATCCAAAAATTCATTTTTCTAAAAATACCCTTGAAACTAGCCGTTATGTAGCCGTTTTTGTTAATTAAAAGAGCTTTTCAAAATTAAGAGATTTCACAACAAATTTTTTTTAAAAAAAAAAAAAACACAACTGACAGTTTATAACGTCAAGAACCGCCGGTTCGAACTGGCAGTTCTAATCGGATGGGGAACCGGCGGTTCCAATCCAGTTCCAATCCGGTTCTCACCGGTTCCAGTTACTGTTCGGGACCGATTCGAACCGACGGTTCCGGTTTCCGAAACCGTAATATGGCCACCCTTAATTGTGGGTGTTTTTGAGCCTCCATTGGGGAAACAAGAGATGTTAAATGTATGGATTATAGGTCATTAAAATTATTTTGAGCTGAGTTTCACATGCACTAGGGTGAAACAGGTTCTGTTATATTTGTTTTAACATGCTAACTAGGGTGAAATATTATTTAGTTCTAGTGTTATATTCTTTTTATTTTTAAAAATTAATTTAATGGCTTTTGTGTTTTGTGGGAACTTATTAACTTCCTTTCATTATAATTTTTGTATTTTTTTTTCATCAATAACAAGCAAAAAAATAAAAAAAGGGTCTTATAGATATACTGTTGTAGTTAAATATTACTATTTGCCTGGTATTTCTTTCTATCTCTTTTATATCTTTTTTCAACCTACTTTGAAAAATTACTAAATTAATAGAAGAATTATCTAAAATCTATACTATATATAAATGTGCAAATAGATGGAATAATGGGATTTTTGATATCACCCTTAATGAGATTTAGAATATTTTAAAATAACATTAGTCATAACCAATTAGTTGATTGGATATATTTATAAAAATTAATTTTTAAATAAATACATATAGATATTATTAATTTTTAAATAAATACATATAGATATTTAAGCATTTCAAAATTTTAAGTCTTTTCTTTTCTAAATTTATTTGTTAATAAATATATATGATAATGAGATATTTGAAAATTTTTATATTTCATTTATTAAATATTTGATTTTATTTTGATTATGATTTAAATTATTTTATTTAGGTGAGAGAGAAAAAAAAAGAAAAAAATATATGCTGTATATAAATAATTATATTAAAAAAAAATTTCAGTTGTGCAACGTGAAAAAAATTTAAAATGTTATATATAATTTAATATGTTACCTTAAAAGTGTAACAGTAATATTATATAATATTAAAAATCTTTATCGGAAAATTTTATATGCTACTATTTTCATCTTTTTTACTATTTATGTACTATTTATGCTATTTTATTTATAATATTTTATTTGCTTAACTAATAAATAACTGTTAAAATTTATAAAAAATTTGGCTATTAAATTTAAGTCCTTTAACCACGTTGAAAAACAGGTCTTAATTTTATGTTATTAAAGGTTAATTTTTTGTTTGAATAATTTTAACAAAATAAAAGGATAAAATAATAATTCTCTCCTATTTTATTTTATATATTTTTTTTTAAAAAAAGAACGAGAATATAATACATATCAATTATTAGGGGCAACATCAAAAATTTCAAATCAAGATTTTCTATTCTAAAAACTTCCAATTCAATCCAAATTCTATTGGATAAACTAAAAAATTATATTATAAACTAAATAAGGTATGTATTAAATGTGGTAAAAGAACATAATATTTTTAAAATTTTAATAATATTGATTGAAAAAATAAAGATAATCTGATTTTGATTGGTTATATTATACTATTTAGGGAAAATTATTATTTAGTCCCTCAGATTTTACATAATTATCCAACTAATCCCAAGGTTTGCACTAATATACATAATTATCCAACTAATCCCAAGGTTTGCACTAATATATAACTAGTCCCTCAGGTTTAACTCCGTCTAATTAAAAGGTCTTTCCGTCCGAAAAGTGGATTTTTTTCTGTTAATTTAAGACTAAAAGACTAAAACACCCCTCCCTTCACTTCTTTGAACTCTCCAATACCTCGGCTTTCTTCTTTACAACTGATTAATTGCACCAGTCATTCTTCAATTTGGAATTAACACACCTTATCATTTCTAAATATTAATTTTGTATTTCTAAAGATATTTTTTTGGTATTGTGTTATGTTTAGGTATGTCCTAAGTTTTGCTACGTTTGGAGTACTGAATTAGGTATGTCCTACGTATGCCCTATAAAATTGCAATATTTATTGGGCTGTGGAGAGGATTAGGGAGGTTCATGAGCATGCAATCGCTAATGTGCCGCCAGCTGAGGAGAAGAGATATTGGCAGAGATACATATACTTGTGGATCAATTTTGCTCTCTATGAAGAACTGGATGCAGGAGACATTGAGAGAACACGGGATGTTTATGGGATGTTTTTTATAAGGGAGTGCCTGAAACCTAATTCCTCAATAAGAAGTTTTTCTAATTTTGCAAAGATTTGGCTCTAGCTGCCCAATTTGAAATTCCAATTTGAAATTCGGCAGTTGAATCTTGCAGGTGCTCGACAAATTTTAGGCAATGCCATTGGCAAAGCTCCCAAAGATAAGATCTTTAAGAAATATATCGAAATAGAGCTGCAACTTGGTAATATTGACCGTTGCCGAAAGCTTTATGAGAAATATTTAGAGTGCACACCAGAAAATTGTTATGCTTGGAGCAAATACGCAGAACTGGAGAGATCTCTGGCTGAAACTGACCGAGCACGAGCAATTTTTGAACTTGCTATAGCACAGCCAGCCTTGGGCATGCCAGAGTTGTTGTGGAAGGCATATATTGATTTTGAGATCTCCGAAGGTGAATATGACAGAACTAGACAACTTTATGAGAGACTATTGCAGCCTTGGGCATGCCAGAGTTGTTGTGGAAGGCATATATTGATTTTGAGATCTCCGAAGGTGAATATGACAGAACTAGACAACTTTATGAGAGACTATTGGACTGGACAAAGCATTTGAAGGTCTGGGTTAGCTATGCTAAATTTGAAGCATCCGCCATGGATGAGGTTGTTGATGGTGCAGATTCTTTGGAAGAACGCCGAAGAGTATTATTCGGGCTGGGTTAACTGGAGAGATCTTTGGCTGAAACTGACCGAGCACGAGCAATGGTTGTTTGACAGAGGCAGAAGAACGCCGAAGAGTATTATTCGGATGAGACAATCTGAAGAGGGTTAGTAATGGATCAGAAAATCTGAAATATATTAGCGAGGGAAGGGTGTTTTAGTTTTTTAGTTTTCAATTAACGGAAAAAAACTCACTTTTCGGACGGAAGGACCTTTTAATTAGATGAAGTTAAACCTGAAGGACTAGTTATATATTAGTGGAAACCTTGGGATTAGTTGGATAATTATGTAAAACCTGAGGGACTAAATAATAATTTTCCCAACTATTTAAGGTACGTGTTAAATATGATAAGAATATAATATGTTTTATTTTTACTTTTATTAAATATTTAATTTGATTGGTTATAATTATTTTTAAAACAATGAATTTAATTATTATTATTTATTGAAAAATATACATGTAACATTTATTGTTTGAATAAAATAGAAAATAAAATTCAATAAAAATATATATATCTATATCTATAGGTAGTTTATCTATCCATGAAATTTGGAATATAACATAATCTTAGTCTTAGCTAATTAAAAAATTATATTTTATTAGTTGATCAGATATAATTTATAAAATTATCTTTTAAATAAATACATATAGATAATGAAGAATTTCAAAATTTTAAATTTCGCCTTTTTAAATTTATTTTTAACAAATATGTATATATTATAATAAGAGATTTGAAAATTTTTATATTTTATTTTTTAAATATTTGATTTCATTTTGATTATAATTTAAAATGATTTTATTTAGAAGGGAGATAAAAAAAGAAAAAATTATACTCTTTTTTTTTATATTTATATGATACGATTGGATATATTTTTTAAAAAATAGTAATACATAATATTTTATTTAGGAGAGAGATAAAAAAGAAAAAATATATATATTCTTTTATTTATGTATGGTTGCCGAGAAAATTGAGGGTTTATTTGAAGAAGATATAACGTTCATTTTATGTAATGTTTTTTTATTACTTAATTAAGTTATTCATTTATTTTAAATTTGCAACTTAGAACAATAGATAAGTAAAACATTTGGACAAATTTATTAACTTACCAATATCGGATCCTAGCATGATTTACTTTGTAATTTTCATTTATTAACTTGACTTTTTTTTTAACCATCAACATCAAATTTTATTAAATTATAATATTTTAAGAGTTTGATTTTGAAATTCAAATTGATAATTTTTTAATATAATTTATTTCTTGTTATATGTTGAGTTCTTAAAAGAGTTTTATTATTGATAATAATTTTTTATGTTTTATTTTTTTTTATGTTATTGAATTAATTTGTAATCACTATTACTTTAATTTAGTAAGAGATTTATATCTTCCTTGCAATAAATAGATGGCCTCCTAATTAAGCATTTTTAATTTTAATGATTTTTTTTTTCTTTTCTATCCTAAATCTGTTTGAACTGGAACTTTTTTTTTTAACCATCAAACATCAAATTTTTTATTTAATATATAATATTTCTAAACAGTTTAGTAATACTGTCTTCTGGGTGAGAAAAGTCATTCAAAAATTGGATAATAAATAATTTTATAGTCTCATTCTATTAATTTTTTATTTTTCTTGGCGTAGTTATATTTTCCTTTGTTTGCGATGTCTCTGCTTATAAAATAAAGAAAGGAATTATATTTGGGATAAATAATTTTTTTTTATGGGGTTTTTTTTATATTTATTTTTTTATTGCTTTATTTGGATTTATGTAATCACTATACTTTTAATTGTTTAAGTAAGAGATTTATATCTTCCTGGGGCAATAATAATGGCCTCCCTAATTGAATAGCATTTTTAATTTTTAAATGATATTTTTTTTTCTTTCTTCTCTAAATTTTGGTTTGATTATAGAAAATTTAGTAAGTAGCAATTTATTATAATTTTCCCTATTTGAGAGCCAATATAAACTAAGATGACTCTTTTGATTAAGTGTATTTTATTTATATGATTATTTAACTACATTGAGAATCTTCCTTGCAATAAATAGATGGCCTCCTAATTAAGCATTTTTAATTTTAATGATTTTTTTTTTCTTTTCTATCCTAAATCTGTTTGATTTGAAAATTTAGTAAGAGATTTATATTTTCCTTGCAATAAATAGATGACCTCTTGATTAAGGATTTTTAATTTTCTTGATTTTTTTCTTTCATTTCCTAAATTTATTTGACTTGAAAAAAAATAGCGTTTATGAAATTGAAAAAAACTAGAACTATATATTTTTGGTTTGAGTCACTTTTTAGATTTCAAGAATTTACGTGTATATTTATATATTCCTTTTTCTAATACACTTGGTAAATAATACTATTATTATAGTAAAAATGATTACCATTATCAATTCAGATCTTCTTCTCATTTCTTTTATTTTACCTACAAGTAAAATATAATTTATTATTATTTTTCATTATAACTATATATAGATATTGATTAGGAATTGAATGCAAGGGATTGGTGATTGAATGATGACTTGATTTTCATTTTGCGCACTTATCATGATTTTAAGAATCTGCATTTGTAAATTAGGCACCGCAGGATTAGAATAGAGATTGGATTAAACTTTATTTTGAGACCACTTCATTAAATAAAAATAGAATGAAGTACACAAGAAAAAGCATTGCAAGTAGCTTATATGACAAAGTCTAATATAAATCAACCAATTATATTAGTTTTAATCTAAAAAAATGTATACTTTTAATATGAAAATTAGAAGAGTATAAAAATGAAAATATAACGAGCATTGATAACGTGCAATGCACATTATAAAAAATATTAGTATAATAAAATGTGTGAAGAGGGGGAAATAATGAGATTTTTGATAGCGCCTTAATAAAATTTAAATATCCTAAAATAACCTTAGTAACGACCAATTATAAAATTATATTTTATTAGTTGATTGGATATAATTTATAAAAATTATTTTTTTAAAATAAATACATAGATAATTAGGAATTTCAAAATTTTAAGTTTTATCTTTTAAAATTTATTTTTTAATAAATATATATAATAATGAGATATTTGAAAATTTTCATATTTTATTTTTAAATATTTAATTTTATTTTGATTATAATTTAAAATATGTTATTTAGGAGAGAAATAAAAAAAAGTATATTCTTTTTTTTCCTTTATGTTTGTATGATGTGATTGTATATATTTTTAAAAATATAAATTTTCAAGTAGAATATAAATAATATTTTATTTAAGACAAATAGAAAAGAAAAAAAAAATATATTTTGTATTGTTGTAGTAAAAATTGAGAGTTTATTTGGAGAGAATAGAATATTTCTTTTATGTATTTTTTCATTAATTAATATATATTATTAAACATTTCAAAATTTTAATTTTTATCTTTTTAAAGTTATTTTTTAATAAAATATATATGATAATGAGACATTTGAAAATTTTTATATTTGATTATAATTTAAAATATTTTATCTAGGGGAAAGATAAAAAAGAAAAGATTTTTTTTTTAATTTTCTTTTCTCTTTATGTTTGTATGATTTGATTGGATATTTTTTTGAAAAATAAATTTTCAAATAGAATATACATTATATTTTATTTAGAAGAGAGATAAAAAAGAAAAAAGTATATTCTTTTTTCTTTTTTTGTATGGTTATAAGGAAAATTAACAGTTTGTTTGAAGAGGATAAAACGTTTCTCTTATGTAAGTTTTTTATTAATTAATTAATTTTAAAATTATAATTTATAATAATAGAGAAATAAAATACTTGAAAAAATTTATTAAGTGACCAATATTGGATCCTAGTATGATTTGCTTTGTAATTTCCATTTATTGACTTCGCTTTAGTTTTCTTTTTTTCTTTTTTTTTTTTTTTGTCCATCAACATCAAATTTTATTAAGTTATGACTTTTCCGGTTGAAGAAAAGGTTGATTTTGGAAATTCAAATTGATAATTTTTTTAATATAATTTGTGCTTTGTTATATTGAATTCTGAAAAGAGTTTTATTTTTAATAAAAGTTTTTGATCTTTTATTTTCTTTTTCATTACTGAATTAATTTGTAACTGCAATCACTTTAATTTAGTAAGAGATTTATATCTCCATAGCAATAAATAATTGGCCTCTTCATGATTAAATATTTTTAATTTTCTTGATATTTTTTCTTTTATATTTTAAATCTGTTTGACTTGAAAGAAAATAGTGTTTATGAAACTAGAAAAAACTTAAACTATATATTTATGTTTTGGATCACTTTTTGGGGTTTTAAGAATCTGTGAGTATATGTGTATATTCTTTTTCCTAATGCATTAGGTAAGTAATACTGCTTCTATAACCAAAATGATTACCATTATCAATTCAGATCATTTTATCATTTCTTTTCTTTTACCTAGTAATAAAAAAATAATATATTATTATTTTTCATTATAGTTGTATACAGATATTGATTTGGGATTGATGGTAGGGATTGAGATTAAGTGATAGGTTGATTTTCTTTTTAGGCAACTATTAGAGTTTTAAGAATCTGCATTTATAAATTAGAAATTGAAGAATTAGGTCTAGAGATTGAGTTATTTTATTTTGAGATCATTTCTGTTACGAACCATTACCTTTGGCCAGACCGGCACTAGGACCTGGGTAGGCTTAAAACCACCAAACCCCACAGTAAGCCAAAAAAAAAAGGCAAACAAACGAACTTCATGTTCAATAAAGATGGCCTCAGGCCCAATTTCATCAACCTTTAAATATCATAAGTTAATTTCAATAATAGTACTCTGGGCCCGTATCAATATATTACATAATAGAAAATGTAATAAGTAATACATCAATAATTTCTAAATTTTATTACACATGACTATCATAATTGCGGAACAATCTAAAAATTTAAAATTTCACTTCAATACACTGAACAAAATTAATCAAGGTTTCATTTTCAACATTTTCTCTAGATGTCGGGTGGCAAAGAATCACGAGATACTGGATAGTGACTTCTGGGCCGTATCAATATTTAAACTAATAAAAATGTAATAAGTAATACATCAATATTTCTAAATTTTTATTACACATGACCTATCATAATTGTCGGAACAATCTAAAAAAATTTTAAAATAAATTTTTTTCCCCCAATTTAAAATTTCACTTCAATACACTGAACAAAATTAATCAAGGTTTCATTTTCAACATTTTCTCTAGATGTCGGGTGGCAAAGAATCACGAGATACTGGAAGACTTGTAACCTGAAAAAACATTAAGGCAGGGATGAGCGCAT